CAATGCTCTTCTGCAAACGTGATATTTGGCCTTGCCTGTGCGTTTGTAAAAAGAACAAGAAGAGGAAAAGTGCTTTATCGTTTCTTGTTGTTTTAACGGCAGGTGACTTACTTTACCTCGCTGTCCAGACAAGAGGAGTTTGAAGGCAATACCAGGAGTGTGATCCCGCTCTTCTCCATAACATATTTCCTGACAATAACCTTTTCAATCATCTCTTGCCTAAGGTAAAATATCTGTAGGCTATGGCTCAATGAGCAGTGATCTTTGCTCTTCTTACCTTCCTTCAGTTGATTTCTGCACTTGCCAGAGTGTAGGCATTCTTGAAACTGCAGGCTTCCAGTGACATTTAATGATATGCAAAGGGTATTCCTTTGCTTTTTCTTGTCTATCTGTGCATATTTCCTAACTGCTTAGATGGGGTTCATGGTAAGTACCAGATAAATACATTAACAAGTCTTCAGTGTGGACATGACCAACTTGAATGCTCACTTCCTAGAGAAATTAATCTTGTCCACTGCTGACACCTAGGATCTCTTAGAACATCATTCATCAGGTGTTCTCTTCAGACAGGGTATTGTCTGGGAAATATATGACACATTACTAAGATACTCCTTGAAATATTTTCAGACTGAACTGCATAAGAAATAACACCTGGCTTGCAAGCTGTGGAGTGCTTTCTTCTGGCTTAGCAGTATTAAGCAGCTTTGGATTGCTGCTCTTCTGTGGAGTGCCATTTGTGGTCACTGTAGCAAATGCACCATTCCTGATTCTGGGTGAGTAGAAAAAGTGAGTAGTGAAGACCAGAGCGAAGTTAAAACAATGTAATGGTGTCAGTCTTTTATGATGTGAATGTCAGATAATACAACATTTTCTCCTGAAGCGAGTGTAGGAGATACCCAGAGGTGCAGCCCCCTCAAAGCACCTACAGGTAGGCAAGCCCCTCAGCTCAGCTCAGTGGGACTGGAGTTGGGTTCTGGTGCAAGGGCAGCTTTCCCCAGAAGACAAGGCCTCATCTAGATCCACTGCTACAGCAGGAAGATTGTAAATGGGAGAATGGTAAGGTTAGCACTTCTGGCATTGTTCTAGTGTCCCTGGAAATGTAGCCAGGATGATTAATCCTCTGCAGTATAACATCTGTGTACGAACCAGTCTCAGTCGGCTGCACAACTGAAGTGATGCACCATTTGTGCAAGCAGCTCCCCCCAAAATCCCAAGGAAGTTGGTATTGCATCCTTGCTTCACAGAGTGCTTAACAGCCAGTGCTGAACTTTCCAAATACTGATAGTGTTGCTGCAATTAGATCATGTTTCCAATTACATAATGTTGCTGCAAACAAATTACTGCTTTTAAAATCCTTACTGGTCTCCAGTATCATACATTCTTCTGATGTTTTCTTTGGCTTGGTCTCATGCTGAGGAAAACACATGGAGCTCTCAGGTTGACAGAGGCTGTGCATCATCCTAAGCTATCCGATGCAAATGCTCCTTTGGGCAGGCATTGTTTCTTTGTTTTCTGCATAATTCTAATGCATTTTTTATTTACTTTTGTTTGCTCATCAATTGCAGTGGCTCTTACTATCAAAGAGGCCCTTCTGTATACCTGGGAAAGGACTTAAGCCAGTCTCTTCAGATCTTCAGAAATAACACACAGACTTTTGTCTTCCTTGTGTTAAAGCAAACAAATTCTCAGTACATCAGAGGCTTTGCTTTGAAGGCTGCTTGCTTTCCAAAGCAGCCTGGCTCGCTGCCATCCAGTAATACCTTTTGATGTGCTGCTTAATGATTCTTTGCATGTTTGCTGGCAATTGCCTTTCAGGTAGCAGGTAATGATTTCATCTCTTCTTCTGTGCTTGGCCAAATCTCACTCCGCTATTCGGGCAGCCTTGTTTTCCCTTTTGTGTGATTAATTTTCAGTGAATAGAAGAGCCCTTGACAGCATGGCAAAATACTGAAAAGTGTGAGATAATAATCTTGAGAGTTAGCAGAGGTAAGAGAAGCCCATTGCTCTTCATTTTTGAACTTCAGCTCACTCACTCTGGCATCTTAGCAAAATCCCAAATCTTCCTGGCAGGCTTTCCCAGGGACCTGTCAGGTAATATTTATGAGCACATTGGTATAAATGTGAACAAAAATGAATAATAAATTGTGACTAAGTGCTGGAAGATAAACTGGAGAGAAGTAGACGGAAAGAGCATAAAAAAAGCAAGCCATCAGAAAACTGGAATCACTCTTCTCCCATGTGCAACTGCTCTTCCTGCCCTCTGAAGGCAGAACAAGAAATTATTGGTCTAAGTTGCTGCAGTGGGGGGGGAAGAGATTGCAGAGATAATGGGGGATGCTTCCAGTAAGAACAGTTGAGCATCAGAATATGTGATGCTTTGAAATCTGTGTCATCTGCATCAGGGGACAAATGGACATCAGCTACAAGACACTTGTCAGAGCTGCAGTAGGTGTGCTCAATCCTTCATCGGGGTCCCTGAGGGATCAACAGCCCATTAGGTCACCAGGAAGTGCTAAAAGGTAATACATTCAGCCACATACAAAGCATCTGTTCTCCAGATTCTCTTGCAACTTGCATCAGCACTGGAGCAGTGTTAGTAGCCCAATCTCCTTTTTCAGATTTTAGGCAGAATGAAATTTGACTAATGTTGTAGTTTTGTTGGGTGTTGGTGGAAGCTGCCATTGGCAGTGCAGCATTAACAGTCTCTCCTCTTGCAGGGGTTGGCGTTGATGACATGTTCATCATGATTGCTTCCTGGGAACAAAGTTTAAGGAAAAAAGAGAAGTCCAATGTTAAATCTCTGCTGGCTGAGACTTACACAGAGGCAGCGCTTTCTGTGACCATCACCACTCTGACAGATGTTTTGGCCTTCTTCATTGGCACCTGGACTGCTTTTCCATCCGTGAGGTCTTTTTGCCTCTATACGGGCACAGCTTTTGTCTTCTGCTATGTATATACCCTGACCTTCTTTGGGGCAGTTCTGGTATTAAATCACAAAAGGGAGCAAGGGAACCGACACTGGCTGACTTGTATGCGTGTGGATGTAGGTAAAGATCAGGCTGAGAACTCCTGCTTGTACAATGCTTGCTGTATTGGCAGCTGTTCTGGGCAGCCATCTCAGCCAGAAGGTGAGCATCCAATGAGCACATTCCTTAAAAAATATTATGGCCCTTTTATTACAAATAAATGGATCAAGGTGCTCATGGTGTTGCTGTATGGAGCATATTTGGGTGGCAGCATTTATGGGTGTACTCAGATCAGGGAAGGCATTGATCTCCGAAATCTGGCAAATGATGCCTCCTACGTTATTCCATACTATGATGATGAAGACAAATACTTCTCCACATATGGACCCCGGGTCATGGTTGTCATTGCTGAGAGTGTAGATTACTGGAATGAGTCGGTGCGTCTTGGCATTGAGAGCTGCACACAGAATTTAGAGAACATTCCCTATGTAGATAAGAACTACTCGGAGTCATGGCTGAGAGTATACACAGGACTTGCCAAAAGGGGTTTGGTAAATATAGACAGTAAGACTGACTTCTTAAATAACTTAA